ATAATGTAACTAAATTAAACTAAGTTATAAATAAAGTTATTAAAAATAAATAAAATTATTATATTGAACTTTCATTTCTCTCTGTTTACAATATGCCAAAATAATTAACGAATTAGCTAATTCTTAAATTTTTAAATAAACCTGCACTTTTTTTCTAATTATGATAATTAAGATACTCCTTTTTAAAAAATTACTCTATCATTTAACCAAATTGATATAAATATTGTGTCCATTTTCTATGTCATAATGCTTCGCTTCTGACATCTTCATCTAATTTTCTTTCTAAATCTTGAAATCTTTAATTCTCTCTCTCTCTACCCTAATGAGTTTACATTGTTCATACCAGCAACCCCTAGAGTTAGAAAAAATCGGTTTTGAAGAAGTTTAGAGAACCACCCTAATTAATGAGTTATTTCATTATGTCAACCTTCTTGATGACTCATCTTAGGAGTGTATTCTTTCTTATCTTCCTCTTATAATCAACACCTTATCGTCATTAGCTTCGCCTTAAAACTTAAGCTTCGTTTGGGACAGCTTTTTTCTTGCTTTTTAAAATAGCTTTCTAGTACAATTATTTTTTTGAATTTAATATTTTTGTACTAGAAAAGTCGTTTTAAGCAGTATGAAAACTGTCCCAAACAAAACCTTAGTATCATCTTCTCGTTATTATGTTTATATTATTAGCCATTGGTCAACAACTCTGCTTCTCAGAGCCTCATCCTAATGTTTCTCATCAAAAATGTATGTTTTTGCATCAAACTATAGTAATTATAACAACACTTAGTAATTAGGTGAGCTTGATACCTAACAATTAAAAGGTTTGTTATTCTAGTTGATTTTGTAAATTTCTCCAATCATATGGATTGTTATTGATAAAATATAAGTGAGAGATTTAGGCTTCGTTTGAGACGGCTTTTTAATTGTTTTCTAAAACTGAGATTTAGTTCAAAAATAAAAAAATTTGTACTAAAACTTCGTTTTAGAAAGCAATAAATAAGCCGTCCCAAACGAAGCCTTAGTAATTGTTAATGACAGAACAAGAAATGGAAAAGAGGAAGATGGCAAACAGGGAACCGAGACAGAGAAAGCAGATGAAAAGAAATAAGGAAAATATTATTATGTGAAAAGTTAAAGTACAGGTTACATATAAATAGGTATAGCTATGGCTTTAGCGTAATAATCACCGGTACAGGTTAATACTAAAGTGAGCTGTCTAACAGTTAAATCAACAAGTTTAAGGTTTAATTTGGGACAATTTTTTTATTGCTTTTTAAATTTGCACAAAAAATAAGTAAATTTCATTTTTAGAGTTAAATTGCAACTCAGGTACAAAAACGGATATGATGAATTGAATTCGATGCATAAATGTTTATTGTCATTAGGGGTGTTAATATATGATAAGACATGAAAATCCAACTCAGATCTAACCCAAAATTTTTGAATTCAAATTGACTCGTTTAACAAATCGATCGACTTTGGGTTCAAGTTTTTGACCACATTGAAATATCGTTGTTCGGATTAGCCCACAAACATGAATGCAACCCGTTTGATCAATCCGTAATCACATCTCAGCCTCTCATTAACAGCCTCTCATTCTGCTTTGCACTCATCTACTCGTGCTCATCCTCGCCCCTGCACTCATATGTCCATTCTCGTTCGTCCATCGCACTCAATTAAGTAAGTGGGTCGGTTATATCAGATCAGATAAGGATTGAGGTCGAATTTGGATCAGACTTGTTAATTGAATCTGACCCGAAAAAAAAAATTTTTTTTTTTGACACCCTAATTGTGAAATTGACAAGGCGTCCGAGGACAAAACAAATATGGACTCCAAATACTGTAATTGCATTTATAGGATTCTATTTTTCGATGGACGACCACGATGACGTCGCATTAGAATTCTATGGTACGAGCAGACTTGCTGTATTTTCAATGCCGTCGCCCGCAAGCGCCGTCGAGCATAGCTGGTCAAAAGTCAAACTTCGTCGATCTCTTTCGTCGCCCAAAGAGATCAATAAAAGACCAAAAGGAGGGCCACCGTAGTTGCAAGTCATCGATCGCGGAGTCACCTCCCTTCGGCCTCGACCTTCACCGTAATGGACGGCTCTGATGGCAGCGACGCCCTTCCTACTCCCCCAGCGGCCACGGCGGCGGCAGATCTTAAGGCTGCCGAGCAGCTCATCCTTCACTGGGACCCGACGTCTTCGCCGTCTGACCGCATGTTATTCGATGGCGGAGATCGCGCCGAGGCTGAGCGATACCTCCACGCCGTCGACGAGATCCGCCGCGCCGTAAGGAACTCGGCTGGAAACAGCGGTAGCCCTAGGAAGTCCGGGACACCGGCCAGTACAATCCAGATCGCCATGGTACGACTCGAGGACGAGTTCCGCCACATACTGGTATCCCGTGCGATCGCATTTGAGATCGATTCGATCGTCGATCTGAACTCACTCTCCCTCCCCCGATCCGATTCCGGTGACTTGGCGTCAGATCTACCCGAGCCTGACGCCGCGGAAGAGGGATTGGACCTTCGGCGGAGCGCGGGGAGCAGTGGTAACCTCGGGGGGAGCAGCACGCCGAGCTACCGTTCCACAAGCAGCATCCGTGAGATCGATCTCCTCCCTGACGATGCTAGTCAGGATCTCCGCAGCATCGCCGACCGGATGATTGCCTCCGGCTACAGTCGCGAGTGTTTTCAGGTTTATGGAAGCGTCCGCAAGTCCGCGGTGGAGCTCTGTTTCCGCCATCTGGGGATCGAGAGGCTCAGCATCGGCGATGTTCAGCGGCTGGACTGGGTGGTTCTTGAATCTAAGATCCGTCGCTGGATTCGCGCTGCCAGAGTTTGTATACGTATTATTTTTGCCAGCGAGCGCCGCCTTTGCGATCTCATATTCGCGGGCCTCGCTGGAGACGATGCCCCTTTTGTTGAAACGGTGAAGGGCGCGGCCGTGCAACTGCTGAGCTTCGCCGAGGCAATCAGCATCGGCCGCCGTTCTCCGGAGAAGCTCTTTAAGATCCTCGACCTTCATGATGCCCTCACAGATTTACTTCCCGACGTTGCCGTTATTTTCCAATCCAGGGCATTGGAATCACTCAACACTCAGGTATCTGATATCATCGCCAGGCTTGCTGAGGCCGTTCGAGGAATCTTATCAGAGTTTGAGAATGCCGTTCTAAGAGAGCCCTCAAAAATTGCTGTTCCTGGAGGTACTCTCCACCCGCTTACGAGGTATGTGATGAATTACATCAGTCTCATTTCGGATTACAAGCAGACGCTGATTCAGCTGATCGTATCAAGGCCGCCGGCGACCCATCGGTTGCCAGGCGATGACACCGGTGTAGGGTTGCCGGAAGTAGACTTACCGGAGCCGGCAAAACAGTCCCCGCTTGCATCTCATCTAATTTGGATAATCTTTGTTCTCCAATTCAATATGGAGAGTAAGGCACAGCTCTACAAGGATGCTGCCCTCTCCCACCTATTCTTAATGAATAACGTTCATTACATTGTCCAGAAAGTGAAGGGCTCCCCTGAGTTGCAGGAAATGATTGGGGATGATTACCTGAAAAAATTGACAGCAAAGTACCGGCAGCTAGCTAATAGCTATGTGAGAGCAACGTGGGTGAAGATCCTCCATTGCTTGAGAGATGAGGGGTTACATGTAGGAGGAAGCTTCTCATCTTCTGTCTCAAAATCAACTTTGAGAGATAGATTCAAAGCTTTCAATGCTGCGTTTGACGAAGTTCACCGAACTCAGGCTGCATGGTTCGTGCCTGAGTCTCAGCTGAGGGAGGAGCTAAGGATTTCAATATCGGAGAGATTGATTCCTGCTTATAGGGCCTTTTTGGGACGGTTCAGACAACATATAGAGAGTGGGAGACACCCTGAGATGTATATTAAGTACTCAGCCGAGGATCTTGAGATTGCCTTATCTGATTTTTTTGAGGGGTGCCCGCCTCCTTTGCATGGCAGGAGAAAGTCCCATTGAAGTTGATGTTAGATGGGATTAAAAGCGAGTTTTGTAGAAATTATTCTTTAATCTTTATGGAAAGTCTTCGAGCGCTTGGTTTCTGAGAATGAGAGGACAACTTATCTTTGAATATTCGTTATTTCATGGATTTGACTGAAAGCTTAATGAAGACTATTCTTTTGCGAGGATGGAAGACACTGAATCAATTTTAAAGTTGTTAAGTCACATGAGCCCTGTAAAATTTCATCTGTAAGTTTTTTTGTTACATGTTATATTATTGAAGGAAGTTCGTATAAGCACTTTTCAAATCTTGTTTTCTTTTTAAGATTTTTCATTTTCTTTTTCAAAACCACCATTCACTGTAATTAATTCCTTTTTTCCAACCTTTTTGTTTGAGATGTTTGTTGATCCTCTTCTGTTCCAACACTCAACTCATTATTTACTCCCAATCAGTACGTGGTTGTGGATTGCTAGTCATTAAACTTGAAGAATGGTATATATTCAGTCATTATATGACCACTATAGTTAGGTTGTTAAGTTGTAATGAAAATCCAGGAAAGTTCTACTGCAGTTGCATGAAAGAATTAGTTTTCTATAGTGATCTGAATACATTCTGCGTCATGGTAAACATAAGCTTGGCACAACTTGCTCTAGACAGCCAAATGACTTGTTCTTTTCTGTACAGCCATGACTTCAGATGAGGAGAATATGCATGCATTCTTCAGGCACCTTTTTGTTTTCTGAATACTAATTTTATGATATTCATGTGAGTACCTTTATCTATTGTTAACACTTTCGCTATTGCCCTTGCAAATATCCCAGTATTCCATGCTCGGACTAAGCATATAGAAATAGATCACAGAATCATTCGGGATCATATACACAACAACAACAACATCAGACTCGTCCTCATTAGCACACTGGATCAATTGGCGGATATCTTCACCAAACCGCTCACTATACCAAAGTTTCATCAGCTTCGATCCAAACTGACGGTTCTATCGAACTCATCAGCTTGCAGCGGCGTAATAGAGCATCACCCATTATCTCTTACAATATAAACGCAAGCACATCCTAGAATAGATCACAGCCTTTAGTATAAAACAAACCATTTCATCACAAGCACACACGTGTGAAGCTAAACATTATACAAACCAATGTACTGCCACAGCTAAGGATATGAAAGAATGACTGTTTTACATTTATCATCTACAGATTCTACATTCTCATCTTTCTCTGTTATTCTGATGCTTGAATGCAGATCTTAAGCGTTATTCAAGATGCATACGTTAGCTTATCTAGTGTCAAAGCCAAGATCTTAGTCTGTATATAAGTTGTATTATTAGGGTTAAACTACTTTCCAATGGCTCCTAGTTTCCATGGATGTAGGAGAATACAGTGATACTTTTTATATATATCTAACTTGTTCACGCTTGCACCATATGAGAAAAATGAATAGCTGAGAGGGCCTGAAATTAGGTCTACTACACCCTAAGCCTGATCATTCCAGCCACACTGGAAGCCATAAGGCATACTGTCCAATAAAACCTGCTTCAGCTGTAGCAAGCTTCTTTTGTGTTATATTTGTTATGCTTTGTCTGTGTATGCTAAGTGTCATTATGATGCAATCAAGGTGCTATATGTGTTGTTTGGAATTCCATAGGTGTTGTGTGTGCTGTTTGGAATTTCCAAACAGTTTGTTTGAACTTCTCTAGGTTGATTTTCGATTTCTGTGTTCATTGGCTGCTTTGTTTTCCCCTTTGCAGTTGTCTCTTCAGTTTGGGTTGATGTCCCTTCAGTTTCTGTGCCCATTGACTGCTGTTTTGATGCTTCGTTTTCCCCTTGGTTGTTGTCCCTTTAGTCCCTATTTGTTGTAGATTTTGAGGAGTTTCTAGTAGCTGTTTGGGTGGTGCTTAAGTGCTTGGACTCCATGCATTAATTGTGTTTTTCTTCTTCTTTTTCTCCCATATAAATGGGGTTGTTTTGTGATAATTTTAGAGAGTCTGTGATGATTTTTGGAATGTAAAACTTGTGGGTTTGTTTTAGCTTGCGAGCTAGCCTCCTTTTCCCTTCCCCTCTACTATTTCGTCTCGGTTTTCTATATCCTCTTCTCTATCCACGGTTCTCGCCCCATCTCTATATATCTTCTCTTAATTAATATGAGTTATAAGGTGTTGTGTTCCAGTATTGTTATATTATATATGTATTTGCCTATGTTTATGATAAGGAAAGACTTTTAATTTGCAATCCTACTATACATTTTTTTGGGTTGCACCACATTATGATGAATGTTTATATAATTTTTATTGTATTAAATCCCTATATTTATGCATTTTATAAGTTGCAGATATTCAGCAACCAAAATTATTCTGAAGGCTCTATTAACTAATGTTGAAAAGCTTATGGGGGCCTTTCACTATTTATAACACTAAGTAGTCAGATTTATAAATGAAGGATTAATGTTTCAAAGAACTTGTTTATAAGTAATCACCAGACCGAAATGTAGATCAGTCTATTTAAAAGAAGGATTTGGAAATAGTATTTAGGTTTATTTTAAGAAGTTTGAAATATTAATGGTTTGTGCTTGAAACGGTACTATGGGTTTATGGGGAGTATTGTGGTGATTGGGAAGAAGTTTAACTTTATATCATTAAATATTTTAAACATTAAATTATTTTTATATTATTAAATATTTTAAACATTTATTATTATTATTTTCAAAATATTTAAATTTAACAAATAAAATAAATTATTTGAGTTAGCTCGCATGCTCACAAGCCGAGCTTCATCAAGCTCGAATTTAAGCTCGTTTATTATACGAGTTCGAGCTTGACTTGTGAGCTCGTTAAGCTCGCGCCCCCCCAAGCCCATAAACTAGTCGAGCTCGAGCCATCTCTGGAGCCGGATCGGCACAATTACACTCCTAAATGCAGGTAGGGAAACAATTGTCTTTCTCACTGAGTCGTTAAGATTCGTGCCATGTCCTTACAGTAATGCAGTTAATTATGCTAGAAGGTCTGTAGAACTAGACTTGTCATATTGTGTAGCAGTTAATAGAAATAAGTAGAGAATGAAAATTTATTAAATTATCTTCAAGCAATTATTGTAAAAAACTGTAATCACATCATGATGAAGATAAAGTTCCAAAAGGTCTTTGTAACAAAGGTAGAATAAGTAGTAAAATTGGATTACATAAAATTAAAAAAACAGCACGAAGAATCATAAAAAATCAAGGCTCTGTGCGGACATCAGACGGGTCTCCCGTCCGGTTTACGCTTAGGTACCGAGCGGTATCGAGCTGCGGTACCGCTCGGTATCGGTACTAAGCTCGGTACCAAATGTGGTGCATTTTCATTGGGGTCTGAATTCTGCACAGAATAATTGTTCTCATTTAGGATGATTTTCTTAATATTTTCTCAGTATAAAAAATTTTAGCTCAAGAAATTTTTATATTAAAAAAATGCTTTAAAAAACAACAAAAAAATCATCTCAAATCAAGCCCAAGGATTCTTTTGGGATGACTTTCTTTCTGATTCTTAAAACAACTTTATAGTATAAAAATTTAATTTTTATACTATAAAACTGCTTTATGAAGCAGTAAGAAGGTCATCCCAAATGAAGCCTAAGTATAAACTATCCTAAGGCTATAAAGAAAATAATGATAATGATAAAATTGATTACACCATGTCTTCATGTGAGATAAACTAAACTAGACAGCATAAATAAAATATTTGTGTAGGGGCCACCAAAACTACTCAAAGAGGCAAGAAGGTCACTCTAGAAGAAAGATGGGCTAGCAAGGTCAATGAATTGGTATTTTCAAATTCCAAGATGTTAATCAAGAGGACCAAACCCTAGATTCTACTTTTGATTCCTTATGGGGATGAGAAAGACCTTAGCCAACTTGAAGAAATCCCAAATATTTTAAGAAAATAGAGAGGCCAATCAATCTCTCACTTTCAAAGAGAAAATGATGAAGCTGACCATCAATGTAAGGACAAAATATGATAAATTGGAGTATGGAGAAGTTCAACTCAGCAAGAGATTCATGAGAGGGATATCTTATTTGATCTTCACCTAATCCTTTGACAATTGTATTAAATATTATCTATTATAAATATAACTTATATAGGAATCTCTTGTATTTATTAATATTATATGAATTTTGTGTTATTTTAATTAGATTATAAGGATTATTTATGGTTGCTCTTTCTTGCATAAGAAGTGTTATTATTATTATTATTAAGATTGAATTAAAGTGTAATTATCATCACCACCTTTTCCTCTCTATGTTTCTCTTTCATGTATTATTAAAATGATTCTACAGAACTATAGTGTCCATTTGGTTGTATGACAAATTTAAGCAACATGTCACTAAGGTTTTGTTTGGGATGACTTTTTTATTGCTTTCTAATGCAAATTTTTTTTTAGTTTAAGAAATTTTGTATTAGATAGCTACTTTAGAAAGCAATAAGCAAGCGGTCCCAAACGAAGTCTAAAAATCATGTAATTCATCATCATTTTGAAAGCAATGAAAGCTCATATAACTTTTCTGACAATAAGCAAGCCGTCCCAAACAAAGTCTAAAAATCATGTAATTCATCATCATTTTGAAAGCAATGAAAGCTCATATAACTTTTCTGACAATAGTGAAGCATATATGTAAAATGAAAGATGAACAAAGCACAACTCAATTTGGTCTGTTGGTTGTGAGCTTTGACTAATAATAAAGATGTTTTGAGTTCAAGTCTTATATATGTGATATGTGTATGAATTTATCTTAATTGGCCTAATTTTTTTTTTAAAGGACATATAATTTGATATGTTGGAGAAATGAGCAAGCTATGTGCAAGCATGATGATGCGAATAAGTATATACAAATGTGAACTCATAGAAATAATCTATTGGGGTGAGATGAGGAGTAAAAACCACAATGACGAAACAAGTAAGAAAGTAAAAGCAACGGAAAAGTAAAGACACACTAGGGGGAAAAACTCAAAATAGGGAGAAAAAAAATTACGGAGCCACACCACTATAGTGTCCATTTGGTTGCATTATGAAAATTGGGAGAAATAAATATAGATTTCTCCTCTCTCACTCTCTCATTATTTTTCTTCTCACATACAACATTCTCAATGTCTAACTTGATTAGAAAATACAAGAGAAAGTAAGTTATAATCTGCAAGGGATGTAACCCTTGAGAAAAACGAGAAAAATAATTATTCAATCTGTCACGCAGCGCTGTAGCGCTAGTTTGGCGCACTGCAGCGCCCACTATCTATTTGACAATGCTGTAGCGAAGAGGGAT